TATACATTGTGTACTGTTTAATTGGCACAATACATCTCTCGCACACATGGTCACCATTGGAGGGGTGAGGACATTTAAAATCTGGACTCATCAAAGTTTCAAGTAAATAATCCAGTATTTTAACTATTGTCACCATGCTGGATCCCTTTGATTTTAATGAGGATGATGAGAGAAGAATGTGAATTGTGAGCTGAAATGCATTATCTACCAGATGGGCTTAATTAAATGGTCATGTCTGGTATTTTGGACAGATACCCTTGATGGAGCTTCCCTTTATGCTGTCACTCTTGAGGATTGTCATGATGCTAAATGATCGCTGTTACCTTTCTTCTGTCTTGTGTGCTGGTTTTATTGCACCATGCAGTGTTGCTGCATTGACTCCTCTAGCACAGCTTATGGATTTCTTGCAGCCTCAAAAAAGAGGGCTCTGTTTTGCCTAAAATTAACTAATTGTTTAACTGAATCAGTTATTGATTCCCTTTATTGAGAAGGGATAATGCAGTGATATAGTTTGCTAAATCAGGATACACACCAGTCTTTCCTGGACAATGAGAAATGGATTATTTGCCAGTATGTTGGCTGAGTACGATTAGGAAGCACTGCAACCTTGGACAGGGGTTGAGGGAGGGGCAGTGTGCTAGATGCTCCCTGGGATGGTCACCCGGAAAATAAAATCACTAGTCACATCCTTCAACTCTGCTGGCGGTAAGATATATTTGCTAATCAGCAGTTGGCTTTCCCCTGATGGCTTTAAGATAATTTTGGGTTTTACCACTCTTTCTAGAATTGTTTTGAAATTGTGATGAAAATAACACAATATGCAAGTAAAATTTATCCCTAAAATTGACTGTAAGCACATAGAGCCTGTATCCCACGGTCTAAACACTGATAATCCCCAGAACAACCCTTTCACAAAGTAGATGAAAATGAAGGTCAATGTCAGTCTTCAAAGTTCTCAGGATGCGTGTCTGACCAGAGTTGTTTTATTACATCTGACAGATTGGGTACATCTGATAGATTTTAGGACAAATTATTTTGTCAACAAGTAAGTCAATATGTCCAAGATCTATCATTCAAATGTAAAGATTTGGAAAGTCCTAAGAGGGGAAAGAAGGAAAATGCCACCCAATTTAAAAAATGACACTAAATTAAATTAACTATAGAAAATTAATTGTTAGATCATGCATACAGTAATCACCACTTAATAGTTTAACATTCTTCCTATAAAACAGTAATGACCAGTTTCAAGAGTACATTTCCATAAATATATACATACTAATGAGTAAATGCTTGTTATTTTTAGTCATTTAATAATAATTTTATTCACTTTTAGATCATAAATATATACAGTTAGAAAAATAGTACTGACATTTTTCAAAAGAAATATGCATTCTAGTACATGAATATACTATATTTTATTTATTAGTTCTGCCTGATTTTAATATTATTAGTCAATTTTCTTTTTCCTTTTATTTTGTATAAAATTATTCCTATAACATTTACTTTTGTAAACCAGAGATGAGGGGCACATGCCTGTAATCCCAGCACTTGAGAAGTTGAGGGAGGAGAATCTTGAGTTTGAGGTCAGCCTGGGCTACATAGTGAGATGCTGTCTCAAGAAAAAAAGCAAAGCAACACAGAAATTTACTTTTTAAATATTCTTGGATATGACTAATTTTTTGAGTGAATTTTGCATTTTCCTTAGCATGCTCCTATTTACCCATTGATAGAGTAAACTTGGGAAAACACCAAATCTAACTCAATTTTAGCAGCTAACTGGGATTAAGTGGAACTGATGCACGTGAACCAGAAACGGGTCATTTCTTCCCACGGCAACAGGCTTTGGCTCAGCAAATAGTCATCAGCCACCTGAGTACTTTAAAGACCATACAACCCAAATTCCTCATGAATGTGGTGTGTTGCAAGCATTCGGAGGATGCTTAATGAAGAGGAATCTTCATTGTCTATTCCTTGAAAACTGTACTAGTGATTAAGAGTATAAGGTCAAAGAGAGATTAATGAGAAACACAAGATCTATGATCCATTTTTAATCCCTAATAGTTAAATGATTGAAACACTAAAGTAAGAAATTATATTCTACAAGCTTGAGAAATAATGCTTGCGAAGTCAATGTAAACAAGCTTTCTTTCTTTATTTGGGTAGTACTGGGTTTAAACTCACAGACTTGAGCTTGCTATGCAAGAATTCTACCACCTGAGCCATCCCTGCCTCCCAGCCATTGTTTGCTTTGCTGCTTTTGCCTGGAGCTGGCCTTGGACCACAGCCTCCTACCTCCATCTTCCTAGTAGCTGGGACTACAGCTATGATATCTGGATTGTTTTTGAGACTGGATCTTATTAACTTTTTGCTTGTGCTGGCCTTAAACCTTGATCCTCCTATCTCTGCCTGCCAGATAGTTGGGATTTCAGGCATGCCTGGCCCAAGCTTTATTTATTTATTTTTCTGGGGGGAAAAAGCCAATAATAAGGTTTTTCAAAAGGTAAGATTTCATAAAACACAATTAAATTGTTGACATTAAAGCTATGCATTCATTTTGATTAGAAGTAGGTAAATTCTGGCCCACTGCATGTTTTTAGAGAGTATAAAAACCAAGAAGACTGTTGGACAGAAACTGTATTGTGATCCACAAAGCCTTAAGCATTTACGATCTGGCCTTCTAACAGAAGACATTTGCAGAGCCCTGAGTTAGATAACTCCCTTGTCATTGTCCTCTGCAATTGTTTTTTTCTTTTATTCATATGTGCATACAATGTTTGGGTCATTTCTGCCCCCTTCCTTCTGCCCCCTCCCTCTCTCCCCGACCCCCTCGATACCCAGCAGAAACTATTTTTCCCTTATCTCTAATTTTGGTGAAGAGAGAGTATAAGCAATAATAGGAAGGACCAAAGGTTTTTGCTAGTTGAGATAAGGATAGCTATACAGGGAGTTGACTCACATTAATTTCCTGTGCGTGTGTGTTACCTTCTAAATTAATTCTTCTTGAACTAACCTTTTCTTTAGTTCCTGGTCCCCTTCTCCTATTGGCCTCTGTCGCTTTAAAGTATCTGCATTAGTTTCTCTGCATTGAGGGCAACAAATGTTGCCTAGTTTTTTGGGTGTCTTACCTATCCTCACCCCTCCCTTGTGTGCTCTCGCTTTATCATGTGATCAAAGTCCAATCCCCTTGTTGTGTTTGCCCTTGATCTAATGTCCACATATGAGGAAGAACATACGAGTTTTGGTCTTTTGGGCCAGGCTAACCTCACTCAGAATGATGTTCTCCAATTCCATCCATTTACCAGTGAATGATAACATTTCGTTCTTCTTCATGGCTGCATAAAATTCCATTGTGTATAGATACCACATTTTCTTGAACCATTCGTCAGTAGTGGGGCATCTTGGCTGTTTCCATAACTTGGCTATTGTGAATAGTGCTGCAATAAACATGGGTGTGCAGGTGCCTCTGGAGTAACCTGTGTCACAGTCTTTTGGGTATATCCCCAAGAGTGGTATTGCTGCATCAAATGGTAGATTGATGTCTAGCTTTTTAAGTAGACTCCAAATTTTTTTCCAGAGTGGTTGTACTAGTTTGCATTCCCACCAGCAGTGTAAGAGGGTTCCTTTTTCCCCCCGCATCCTTGCCAACACCTGTCGTTGGTGGTGTTGCTGATGACGGCTATTCTAAGGGGTGAGGTGGAATCTTAGTGTGGTTTTAATTTGCATTTCCTTTATCTCCGCAATTGTTTTTAAACAGACAGCCATTTTACCACAATTGTTTTCTATTTCTTAACTACAGTGTGCAATTTGGCAACACGTGACTCTGAATTCCATTGCTACGTCCTATATTGTAGCTTAGTGGACACGGGGGAGTTCACATTACTACCTCTCTGTCTTCTTGGACTAATTCAAGAGCAACATCACTTCATTTAGGTCAAAGTCATGGCCTTGCCCGTACTTCTTACAAAAGTATGACTGTTGTAAAAAGCCCATTTTAAAGGAAACTATGTCCTGAGCATTGCCATTTGTAACTTAAGTGAAGCTAGCTGTGACAAGACTTTTAATATTTAAATTCTAATACTGAAAATATCAAATATCTATTTTATTTCTGGAACATTTTATACTGCTAACTTTTCATTTATCATCGTGTACCATAGCAGCATCACGGCTCCTGTTGCTTTTTGTGTTGGGTTACTAACATTAGACGCTACTCTTTGGTTATCCACAGGACTAAAGTGTCTAATACAAAATTATTAGTAGAAAAGCAAATCTAAGGTATTCCATCTAGTCAGTATTTAAATTTTTTAATTTCTTTGGCGGGACTGGGGTTTGAACTCAGGGCTTCATGCTTTAGCAAAGCAGGCATACCACCACTTGAGCCATGCCTCTAGTCCCTTTTTGCTATGGTTTGGAGATGGGATCTTTTGAACTATTTGCCTGAGCTGACCTTGAACCATGATCTCCTGATTCCAGCCTCCTAAGTAGCTAGGATTACAGGCATGCGTCACTGGCTGCACCAGAACATACAAAAACACCTACAGAATAGATATTTAGCATGTTTTAGATAATTGGGACTAGCCAACTACATTTTTAAAGTATTAATTCTTTATAAATATAGCATCTCCTAAATAAAATATGAGCTCTGGTTTATTTTAATTTTCTTACCATTTTAATTTCTTTCATTTATACTACATAATGCTAAAACACACTATTATTTTCTAGATGAGATTTTTTTAAAAGAAATCAAATTTCACTTGCATGTGCAATAATTCACGTTACAGGAATTTTCTTGTCTTAGTTTTCACCCGTTTTTGAACTCCTGGATCCCAGGTCTCAGCTGACATGAGATTGGTTCTAACCTGTGTCCCCGTCTCTTTCTAGTGAGTGATCCTCAGGAATCTGCAAACAAGGGGAAAAGGAAGCAGCTGTGTTTGTATAACAAGACTGTAGACAGTTTTACTGCTGCTGCTGTTCCCCTTTTATCTGTGTGTCTCTGTTTTCAGGCTGTCCTGACAACAGCTCTGGCTCTGGATGTGAAAGTCCCCTAGGAGGGTTTCAGGGCTGCCTGAGGCTTATCTCCATTGGGGACAAAGTGGTGGACCCCATCTCCGTACAGCAGGGGATGCTGGGGAGTTTTGGAGACCTCCAGATAGACTCCTGTGGCATCACAGACAGGTAAGGGCCATTTGGGGTCATTTTAAAATTTAATTTATTTATTTTGACATAGGATATATTTCCATTTATTTGTGTCTTCTTCAATTTCTTCCACTAGAGTTTTCAATCTTTCATCATAGAGATAGTTAACCTTCTTGGCTTATTTTATCCCCTAAGTGTTTTATTCTATTTTTAAAATTATCATATTGTACTGATGGTACACCGTAACATTTACAAAAGTTCTTGCAATATAGCATAGCTGAATTCACATCCTGCATCATTTTAGCATTCCTGTTTTCAAAGTTTAAAGAACAGAAAGTAATGAAAATTAAAAATAAAGGATTCCTTTCTCTGTCTCTCTCTCTCTCTTTTTTTTTTTTTTTAGTATCTTTCTGCAGGGAATGAAATAGCTATATTTACAGTGAGGGTTAGAAAACTGTATCTTTAGTATAAGCCATGTTTTTCTTCAAATAATAGTATTTGATTAGAAAATATATACCCTATGATTTTACCTTAAAATGGTGAAATTATCAAGCCAGCTTTTGAAGCCACGCCCAGCAGTTGGGTGATATTTGGGGAGCAGAGGAATTGGAAGATTACCATTCTTTTTTGGCGGCTCTAGGGTTTGAACTCAGGGCTTCACGCTTGCTAGGCAGGCTCTCCACCACTTGAGCCACTCCAGCAGCCCATTTTGGGGGTTGGGTATTTTTGAAATAGAGTCTCAAGAACTATTTGCCTGGGCTGACTTTGAACCTCAATCCTCTTCATCTCTGTCTCCGAAGTAGGTAGAATTATAGCCATTGGCTACCAGCACCTGGCCAATTTTTTAAATTTGCAACAAGAGCACATAAGAAGTAATCTCTTGCTAGAAAAGTTTGAGCCACAAAATCAAGGAAGATATGTGTACAATGATGGACTCAGTGAAATATGGAGAACACAAGGAAAATGGCTTAATTTTTTAAATTCAATTTATTTATATTTAATTTAATTTTAATTTGTGCTGTCAGTCATGGCTCATCTCTGTAATGATTTTGGCTGAAAATGATCATGTGGTCATGCCTGGAAGAACAGATTTCTATATATATGACATACCTTACTGCTCCCCCTGCTATTAATCAGTCAATAAACGCTGATAACGGCACACTACCCACTACCCACATGTAGGGAAATGTCACACTGTATCTCATAAACCTATACAATTATTATTTATCATTAAAAGTGAAATTAATTAATGGTACAGGTTTAAGAAAAATAAAAAATTATATTCAGGTACAGTAGGCTTTTCAGAATACTTCATGGAGTAGTCTTACTCTTGCTAGCTGTAATAAAGTAGTCATCTCTAGCTAAACAGGCTTTAGTTTACAAATCATCTCTAGTGACACTAAAAGAATAATTTCTTCTGAATGAAACATTCACTCATAAGAACTTGATTTAACACAGGTAATTTCCTTATGAGTTGTCCCACTAGCTTGCTCTTGTCCATTGGATTGGAATTCTTGGCACAGACCCAGGACTGCAGGAGAGCCCCGGCTGGGCTCATGGGGGCATTGCTGGGAAGGCTCTGGGGAGGCAGGGTCTCCTTACCAGGTAAGGTGCAGCCCCCACTCAGAGGAGCATTGGTTAGGGTCCTGTGCCTCACACTGAGTGCTGAGAACTGTCTGCTCAGCTGTGATGCAAGTGTGATTTGCTCCACTTGCAAGTGTTTTGTCAACAACAAATAAAATGTGATCTGTCACATTATATCTTCTGTGATGTGCTGTGGTTTGGAAGTGTAAAGACTTAATTGCCTGGAGGTGCTGGAACCTTTAAGAGGTAGAGCCTAGGGGGAGGAAGGGAGGTCATCAGGGCTGTGCTCTTAAAGGGGATTTGGGACCCTGTCCTCTTCCTCTGATTCCTTGCTTCCTGGATGCTGTGAGGTGAGCAGCTTTCTGACCCATGTTGTGCTGCCTCATCACAGGCCCAAAAGCAATGGAGCCAACTGACCATGGACTGAAACCTACAAAACTGTGAGCCACAATGAACCTCTTCTCTTTTTAAGTTTATTATTTCAGGTATGTTGTTACAGTAATGGAAGTTGACAACAAACACACAAGGGTGCCTCCCACAGCTGCCCTTCCACAGATGTTGTTTATAAACCATCTACTCCGTCCATTTTGCATGTAGCTCAATAAGTAAAAACTATTTTTTCTAAATCTCATGAACTGGTTTAACCCTCCAGTCCTAGGAGTTATGCTGGTATCTAACTAGGTCTCTAAGATCATACATTTTTAAAAGGCTTCTGAAATCTCAAGTTACTTTATAACCACACGTGCAAGAGGCACAGCTAAACTTTAGCTGCACTGTGGACAATAACCATCTCAGATAAGGTTTTAAGAAAGCACTTAAAGTCTTTATAAAAAGCACTATGAATGGGCTTATCCATGGGCTTATTCCTTAGGTCAGTGATATAGAAGTCAAAATGTTTTTAAAACAACTCAGTGTCATAAGGCAATAAAAATTAGGAAAATTTGGTGCTAAAAGCAAGATTCTAAAGATTTAAAGACTTTTCTTTTTCCCTTTGCAGTTTGGAAATCCTGAAAATTCACTCAGAATATCCTGAAAATAGGATTATAAATATCTATTGTCCTTTGGGGGAGCTGAAAAAGTACCTTCAATTCACAAAATAGAAATGTTATTCAAATATCCAATCTAGAAGACTTCAAGGCAGTTGTGAGACTGGATATGGTAGTGTACACCGTAATCCCAGCTAATCAGGAGGTGGAGATCAGGAGGATCTAGGTTCAAGGCCAGTCCCTGCAAAAAATGCCAGTGAGACCCCCATCTCAAGGTGCTCAGTAATCACCAGCAATGTGGAATTTCTGTATACATCAAGTTAAGCTGTTTTCAGTAAAGAAGAAATGGGTCTTACCGACCAAGCAATGACAGTTGTATTTGTTTGCTTGTAGGTGTTTGCCCAGCTACTGTGAGCATGGGGGCAAATGTTCCCAATCATGGAACACCTTTTCCTGTGACTGTGAGGGCACAGGTTACAGCGGAGCCACCTGCCATTCCTGTAAGCGCATACCTCATTATCATTTTAGTGATTTGTCATTTCATCTTTGCTAATCATTTATCTGTATATTTAAAATCATGCAGACATATTGGAATAAGTATCTTAGCACCCAGTAACTCCTAATTCATATTTAAGCCACCTTATTTATTTATTTATTTATTTTGCAGTGCCAGGGATTGAACCCAGGGCACTGACTGAACTAGGCAAACGCTCTACCACTGAGTTATACTCCACGCCCAACCTCATTTAATACAAGGCTGTTGAGATACAGTGCAGACGCATATAGTGCTAAGGAGGGTGGTAGAATAAGAGTGGAGGGGGAAAATCAAATCAAGAATGCATGATATAACATCTTGTTTCTTGAATTTTAATTTTGAGACTCCTTTCAGCTAAATAAGGTGGGAAACTAATTTGCCAGGTCCTCAAGCTTAACTATAATAAAATTCAGGATTAAAAAAAATGCAATACTGGATGGGAATGCCACATGGTAAAGTTTTAGAAGAGGTAATTAAGGTCTCTTCCAACTGTGATTTTCTTTGGTAGAGATGATTATCATCATCAGTGAATAATTATAAAAGTAGGCATTTACTGAGCAATTAAATAGGTCAGTCTTCTCGTGATTCCCATGAATTGACTCATTTAACCCTTAAGATGCTTCAGGAATCAAGCCATTGCAAAACTGAGGATGGAAGGCAGTCAAGTAACTCCATGGGCATCCTGTTACAGACACGATGAGCTGGCAAAAGTGAGGCTGTCTTGTAAGAGAGGGATGGGTGCAGTCTTAGTCTGTGGGTAGCTTGGCGGGAGAGGACTGTGGTATAGAAGGTCAGCAAAGGTCAACAATGTTCGAAGGTCAACATGGATGGGACAGGATAGGGGTGGGGGAGTGGGCATGTCTGCAGCCCAGTTTCAAGGTTCAGTTGCAGCTTTGTCTGAGATCTGATTAACAAAGGCCTCCTAGACCTGGTGGAGTGTCTCAAGTGGTAGAGCACCTGTTAGCTAGTGAAGCCCTGTGTTCAAACCCCAGTACTGCCAAAAAAGAAAAAGGAAACAATGGCCCTTGACCCCATTTAAGTGCTCGGAACCAGTGCTACTCCATTTTGAATTTTTTTCCCTTGACATGCTTAAGTGTTGGGCTATATTATTATGAATGTAGATAATTCAGTGTCAAATACCCTCATTACAATGGTATATATTCAGTTATTACAGGTAGAATGAATGTGGGGTTTTTTTTTCTGACACTGGGGATCGAACCCAGGGCCTTGTGCATTCTAGGAAAACACTTAGACACTGAGCTACATCCCTAGCCCAAGGTTTCTTCTTTAATTACAGCACTGAATTTTGAAGTCTAGTTGCTCTGACTTTGAATACCGTCATGCATCCACAGCATATAGGATTTTGATTCACAGTTTCCCTGAATACCTCTTCAAATCTTTTACTCTGTGCTTCAGAATCTTCATATTTCCTTGCTCACAACAAAAGAGAACATTTACATAAAGAAAACACAGTCCCTAGACATTGACAAATGACTGTCTACTGAAGATAGCATCAAAACGTTCTCTCCTGCTTCCTTCCTTCCTTCCTCCCTCCCTCTCACCTCCCTCCCTCCCTCCCTTCTTCCTTCTTCCCTCCTTCCTTCCTTTCTTCCTTCTTCCTCCCTTTCTTCTTTCCTTCCTTCCTTTTTTTTTGTGATAGGCTCTTGCTATGAAACTCAGGCTGGCTTTGAACTCATGATCCTCCGGCCTCTGCTTCCTGAGTGCTGGGATTACAAACCTGTGCCACCATGACCTGCCCCATCCTCATTTTAAGTCACCGATACACTACTTTCTCTTAAATATATACCAAATATTTATTCAGTACCTAACAATAGTCAGCATTTAAATTCATCTTGACTTGATGATTTCCTTCTTTCCTGATAAAAGAAATTTAATTTTTTTAATGTCTTCATTTTTTCTTCTAATCAAATACAATAGCCTATAAATTGATAAAATGTGATTCTGGGTAATATGTGTCATGTGTCTGTAATTCACAAATGGAAACCTTTTGGACGTTAATTAGTATATCAAGGGCTTCATTCTGCTCCTCCGGCAGCAATCTATGAGCAGTCTTGCGAAGGCCACGAGCACCGAGGGAGCCCGTCGGGGCGTTACCCCATTGATGTGGACGGGAGCGGCGCCCTGGGACCACTGCTTGTGTACTGCAACATGACCCGTATGTTAACAACCTTCGGGTTTACATGACAGCTGCTTACACAGACCACCCAAATGGACCTGGGGAATTTACCTAGCTGACAGTGTTATTAATCACAGTTTGCTCATTGTGTGTGCTAAGTGGAAGTATGACATGTGTACTTGTTAATTGTGTTGTCCATAAAAATTCCTTTGCATGATTTGTTTACCTAGGTTGAATTGTAGGTGAGGTTTAAGGCTGGGCTATACCCTCTGTGGCCATACATAGCTTTTACTCTATCTGTTCACATGCATCATGATAAAAGATAAAGATTTGATTCCACGATTTATAAATTGTTAAAATTTAGAACAAATCAGAGGCCTTTGAAAGTGCTAAGAATAACATGTATATGCTGATATTTTATGCACATCTTAGATAATTTAGTGATTTACACAGAACTTTATTGTTTCATAATTAAAGAAATTTGATTTCTTGATTATTTGGTACTATAAACCACTTCTGATTTAGATATTATTACAAATGAACATAGCTTGATTATAGAAGATTGCATAAAAATTCCTCTTAAATAATTATATTTTTACAATAATTTGCTGCCACCCCCTCCCCGACCTCTCAGGAAAGAGGAAATCTGTAGTAAATTGTAGTAAATAGTTCTTATTTAATGTGCTGAGAAAAGGCTCTAAGTTTTATAAATTTGAACATTGACCAAATGGATCAGCAAATACCAAGGGGGAGAGGGATGGGAATGAAGGTTCATAGGACTTAAAAAAGCTTCAGCAAAGATTGCCAAAGAATATTAAAATAGGGGAAGTTGAGACAATTTAGAAGCACACGGGCAGCGATGTACTGATGATAATGAAGCACAGAGGCCCTCACAAAAGATGCTAGTTACCTCCAAGACTCCTGAATCAGACAGTCAGGCAAAAGCGAGCATACTCCAGCACAGTTAGCATCAGTCATGTAGCTTTTCCCAGGAGCCATCAGTATCCTTCAGATTCTTCAGATGGTTCTTTCCACAGAGTGGTCTTGGCAAAAATCAAAATGACAGAGGGGTTAGGCAGGGAGTTAGGAAACCTGATGACTGAGAATAATGGCTTGGATGCTGAAAAGGAATCACATCCTAGATTGCTGATATCAACAGAATGACTTGTGACACACAGAACAGTCTTGGTGATCTACCACCCCCATAACCTGTAAAAAAAAATACTCTTGGTCTCACCATCCTAGGCCACGAACTCCCCCATTGGACATGAGGGAGGATTTGATGACACATAGCCAAGATTCTGGAACTTAATGACACTCGAGCCTAGTTTTCCAGGACTGACCACTCCCATGTCTGCAGACCCAATCAAAGCTTGAGGTCTTGGGATCCAAGTGCACTGTTCCTTCTTGAGCCTGCCCACTCTCCATCTGGAGGGTGCACTTTTGCTTTGCATTAATAAACCTGCTTCTACTTGAGTCTCCTCTGTGCCTGTCCTTGAATTTTTTCTCTGATGAGACCAAGAACTTTCTGGTTCCTGGACCTGGTGACCTGATCCAGTGATGAAAGGATTCAGTCAATGTCATGGTCAGGGAAGGACCTTTGTCATCATCATTTTAATATAAGGAAACTGAGACTCAGAGAAGGTAGTTAGCATAATATTTTATGACAAAATCTAGTTAGTGGCAGAAGAACTCTGATGGTTTCTATTCTCCCCCAGAAAAAGTCACTTTCTCTCTAGAGGCTTCATTGCTTAGAGCCAATAAAATATTCTCTAGTCATACGAATCAAGCAGTAGCAATTATAAAAGATGCAGCCATCAAAATACTTTTCCAGTAGCTTGACGACGCACATGTGGTCACAGCATTGAAAAACCAGTGGCTTCCACTTGACACATTAAGAAGCTTGGAAGCTATTGTTTTATCTTACCAAGAAAAAACTGAACAAAACAAAAAAATCAGCAACTCTTCCTACATCCAGCAGAGAAGTGAGGTTGCAGAACAAGCCACTGCCCCCCAAACTAGAGAGACAGGCACTTATATACAGAGGACTCCCAATTTCCCAGAACAGACACGGGTAGTCAGAAACTTCCCATGAGAAACAGTGCTCAGACAGTAAACTATAATTGCCAAATTTCTGGAGACTCAGTGAGGACAAATCTGAGAGCTAAAACCTCCAGGGAGACCTGACCATAGAAACAGAGAAAGGACCCCACGCTTTTGTGAACTTTCTCTTTTAAGACCTTGACCAGGTCTCATGGGGAATGTTGGACAAAACTCTCTTCATTCTTTCAAAAGGGAAAGAGAGACAGGAACCATTTTGAAATACACTAGAACATTCTGTACTTCTTATCAAAGCTTTCCCTCTAGAGAAAACATTAACCCACAGCCTAAAGTACTGGACTTTTTTTCAGAGTCCAACTACTTAGGAAAGGGGAAGTAGTTAACTCCAGCCCCCTCCAGCCATCTGTCCCTGCTCAGGGTAGTGGGAAGGGGACTGAGAGACACTTAGGATTTCACAGTCAGCAGCACAGGCTCGGCATAGGAGTATAGAATGCATCCCTTCCCCCAAATCTCACTGACACACTAAAGGGCTATTTACAGCCCTCACTTTGACCCTGGTACCTCATCGTAAGCACTAATGATTTAAGTGGAATTTTATAAACACAGACACACCTCTTATCTCGTCAGAAAAGTAGTTTTACAGATAAAAGTCTCAATCCTTCCCTTTTCAGTATTGCAGGCATTTTTCTATTTTTACCATGCATGACAGCAAATCTATCCAACTGATCAATCGCTAGGCTATATGAACTCCCCAGAACCATCAACCCATGACACACGACCAAACAAATGGCACATAATTGACTATCTTCAGCATCCAACTTAGCATTCTGTAAGGTTTCTCTGTATTTGATACAGTGGATAGGAAAATTCTGAAGATTACTGTAGAGTAGGTGGCATGCAAAAAGTAATGCCACATGTTAAATCTTAAACATTAAAAACTACTTAGTTAGAATCTTATTAAAGGAAGGATTTATAGAACTGAAATTGCCTTAGAGCCTGCTTTGTGAGCACAGTGAGCTGAGTGGTCATTTAATGTAAAATTGCATTCATTATTTCAATTCCCAGCTCCTTCCTGCACTAACTGCTCATGAGTGGTGTGTCTGCCTGTGCTCCCCATGGGCACAGGGACTAAGAGTCCTTCCCGTAGCTCTGCAGGCTTTCTTGTTGTTGCCATGTGTTAGGAATATGTAAACACCATTTAGACTTCTAAGCTTCTCTCATGCACAGTTTGCAACCAACCCACTAAAATTCCTGAGATTTTAAAGAGTGGGGGGAGATTTCTCAATAAAAAACTTACTACATTGCTCTGGTTTTTAAATTTTTTAAATTGTATATCCATCTCATTTTTTCCCAGTCTCTCTAGCTTGGAAAATTTCTATGTAAAATGTCCAGGATGCTAAGTGTATCTTTTTCTAGAGGTGAAAGGACCAAAGTGGATCAATGTGGTTGAATGAGAGTGACTTCAAGTCAGCTTCTCATTCTGAATCAGAGCTGTTCAAGTAGCTGGGTGAGGCTTTATGCAGCAAGGGGTGGGGGCCATGGCTGGAAACCTTGAAGAGTCTAAAATGTGTTTCTTCCCTGCTGGGCTTGTGGAGTGCTTTTGTTTGGTTTTTATTTTGACAAAACAAGTCTAAGTCACTAGACTTAGACTTCATTATATCTGAAATTATGTCATCTTGTGGACAGATGGCCAGGGTCACAGGCTGGATTATTTCTGCTGGGTACTCCAGGTGTGTGACCTCATTCAGTGTTTGCTCACTGATGGGGAAGCTGGCATACTTTTATTTTAAGAGTTGCTTCCTGTGGTATCTCATGAATATGTAGGTGACAGCATCCCAAAATGTATCTTTTATAAATTAATGAAAAAGACACATACAGATGAGGAAAATAGTGTTTAAAAAAAGAGAAACGTGCAGGTACGGATTAGCCTCATTCTTGTGTTGCTGAGTATGGCTGAGGTACTTTCTACACACCTGTAAATATGGAACAGCAAAACCTATGGAAGTCATTTTGAGAAGAGGAGTGACAGGAAGAAGAGGGAGAATAATGGAGGGGACAAACCAAAGTGGGTTACAATGTATGTATATGTGGAAATGTCACAACAATGGCACATAAATTTAATCATCAGTATATTGAATCAATGTATTTTCCCTTAGAGGCTGAGATTTGGCCAGACACACTGTCACACAAATCCAACCCCCAAATTTTGCTGCCACCTGGCAGCAACACAAATTTGAGTTAACAACTTTTCACTGTATAACAGACGCACCTGGTTGGCGCAGTCGCGTGCTCTCTGCAGCCCATGATGGCCCCTCTGTCCCCTTTCTGCTCAGCAGCAGACGCAGCGTGGATGGTGGTGCAGCATGACAGCCTGGACGCGGTCACGGTCAGCGGTGGTCCCCTTGGGCGCGCGCGCTCTGCGACCTTCACCTACGGGGCGGACACGGGGCAGCTAAGGGCTGCGGTGGACCGCGCTGAGCGCTGCGAGCAGCGGCTGACCCTGCGCTGCGGGACCGTGAGGCCCTTGGACGCGACAGGTGAGACCCGGCGGCGGGCAAGGGCGCAGGGGAATTGAACAAATGCGCAGACCCATCGGGCAAATGTGCTGTGCGTCGGACAAATGCGCAAGGCTGGAGCGTGAGATGCTCTCCCAGGGAGAAAGGCCATTGTTATTTCCACCCAGCTCAATTCAAAGCTCTGATCTCCCTGCCAGTCTCTTGCTGCCCTCCATTGGATGAATGAGCAATAACGAGTGCCTTCCTGATAGTGGGTGAATGTTCAGAGCTCATGTGTGGAACTAGTGCTTTTTTTTTTTTTGCAGGACTAGGGTTTGAACGCAGTACCTCACGCTTGCCAGACAGGAGCTCCACCAGTCCCCTCCACCGGTCCCTATGTATGTGTTTTTTTAATCCATGGAAATGTTGCTAATAGCATTGGGCACATCTGGAAAGGACAATGCCTGCTACTTTCAAAGTTTACCTCTAGTTCTACCCGTGCCATCTTGATTTCCTCCACTCAGGCTCTCCCATATTTCAGGATATCTCTTTGTTCTAAGATGAAGTAATTGTAGCTATTCCAAGCGTTTTTCTGCTGGCCTCTCATTTCCCCCAAGTTATCTTAATCTTTTTAAATGCAGTTATCTTTAAGAAGTTCTGCTTGCATCACAACTCTCTTCTCTGAAGTCACAGGCACTTTTCTCCCTCCTTCCAGGAATTCCCACCATCTACACAGCCCCACCTGCTCCCACTGCAGTTGTCATATGGTTCATTGCAAATAGTAACTACTAAGTTCGTCCTTTTTTAACCATATGGCAATCAGAAATAGTATATGTAGCAGCATAATAAAACCATTCTTGTTTCACTCTCAAATTTTCATCCCACTGTCTCTTATTAAAATGAGTTGAAACGTGTTGGTGTGTGACTCAGAGCAGATCACTGGAGCAGTCCTGCACTGCCTCTTCCAACCTGGTCAGTGGCCTCTGCAGAATATTCCAGACTATGTTCTTCCCCATGCCAGAAGTTCCCTCTACCTGGATGGCCCTCCTACCTTTCACCCTTAAATTTCAACCATTCTGCTAGACCTGTGCAGTCTGCACTTGGGCCCTTTCTCAGTGATCAGTGCCATCTTAGGTGACTTTCAGCCAATTTGATATCCTGGAAAAAAGCAAAGGACTTTTCCATTTCATTTCCAAGTTTTAAGTCCACATTCCAAGTCTGTGGCTTAACAGGTGCAGAAATGGAAGCAAATGCTTAGTCTTTCTGAATCTCTGTGTCATCTTCAGAAAAATGGGCCTGTAGTGCCGATGGCATGGGGTTTCCTACACAAATGAGATAATTTACATAAAGTTCAGGAAGTAAGAAATCTTCACTCCCGGTTCCCCATTTTCATAGAATTTATAGTTTACATGACAAAGTCCAATTGTTTGTTAGTTCATTACTGTTGGATTTTACTCAGTGGAATGATAATTACAGCAAACTAGAGCAGGACTGGGGAACCCAAGATGTTAGATAATTAACTAGGAAATGCAAGGCAAAGGGGAGTGATGCTCTAATGGAATCAGACAACCACATGACCTAGTGTGTCAGTGAGCCAACACTATACTGTGGACTAGTCCATAACCTGGACACAACACAGGTTAGCCAAGGGGCCTGCCAGCAGAGCTAGCATTGAACCAGTGCATTTGATAGCTACTATCTATTTGACTTCACTTCTACACATGAGGATTTTTCTAAAAAAGCCAAAACAAACCATTTTTAATTTAGAGAATAAATGACTGAAAGTGAAAATGTGATGAGCTTGTAAAACGACTTTAGGAACAAAACAGTGTGGCTTTTTTATGCACGTTCACTATACAAGCATCCTCATTTATATGTCTTACAGCTACCATTGCAAAGCTGTCACTGGAGAATTTTCAATATACTCATGACTTAGACAAATATTTAAAATGGACCTAATATTACCAGAAGCTTCTGATAAGGGTAGGAGTGAAATTTTCCTTATTATAAGAGTTCTGACCTGCTTGGTATCTAGAGGAGTTAAGCAGGTCAGGGGGAATGGACTATAAGACAAAGTGACATTGCATTCTGTAATTGTGCAATGCCTGTGCCTTATACACAGAAATTATAATTTAGCTGACCTGAGGAGTAGTTTGGGCTGAGAATTTTTAAAGATCCTCGAGTAATTTTTCAGAAACCACTGTGCTAGGGTTTCACATTTTAAAATGTTTTTTAACATTTTAAAAACTTTTGAGGTAACTATAGTTTCATACACACATGAGAAAGAACAGAGAGAAACTGAGTACTCTTTACCCAGCCCTCCTCCCCCATGGCAACATCTGTGGAGCTGTAGTACAGTATCATGACCAGCATCTGGCCATAGATAACAGTCGAGGTACACAAGCATCCCTTCCCTTCCCATTCACTACCCACACCTGCTTCCCCCTCAAGCTCACCCTGGGCACCACTAACCTATCCTGTATTTCAGTACTTTTCTCGTGTTCTTATTTCCATTGTAAGCATGCTGTGTAAGTGGAGTCATGGAGCATGTGACCTTTTGGGGTGAACTTGCTCACTTAGCCCAATCCACTTGATATTGCACTGTTGTGTGTATTGATCATTTGTTCCTTTTTGTTGCTGAGTAGTAATCCATGGTATGGATATGCCAGTGTAAATGTTCACTCACTGAAGGGCACTCAGTCGTTTACAGTTTGGGGCTATTATGAATGTGTGAACATTAGTTGTCATTTCTCTGGGATAAATGCCCAAGTGCATTTGCTGGGTCATTGAATGGTTAGTTTTACAAAAACTAACAAGCAACTCCCTTGCCCAAAATACTTCCCAAACTGTGTTCTAGAGTGGCTATTGTATTTGATGCTTCTATCAATAATGTATAAGACTCCAGTTTCTCTCACATCCTTGCTGTGTTTTGTAGAGCAAATGTTTTCATTTTGATGAGGTCCATTGTATCATTTTTTTTCTTTTGTGGGCTGTGCATTTGGTGTCAGGTGTAACTCTTGCTGTAATTCTAAATCCCAAAGATTTTCTATTTTTCACTCTAACAGTTTTATATTTTACTTTTAATTCCATGCTCCATTTTGGAATAATTTTTGTATAAAATATGACATTTAGGTCAAATTCTCTCTCTCCTCCCCCTCCTCTTTTTCTCTCTGTCCTTCTCTTCTCTCTTTCTTGTGTGTTTGCACACTCACTCTCAGCTATGAAGGTCCACTTGCTCTGAAAATATTCATTGAAAAGGCTATCCTTCTATTGAATTGCACTTTCAACATTGTCAAATATCAGTTGGACATATCTGTGCTGTGCATCTATTTCTAGGGTCATTATTTCTCCATTGATTTATGTCTTTTGCTTCACCAATACCACAATGTTTTGAATATACTGTATCTACTTAGTAGGGAGAGTTATTCCACCCACAGACATTTTCAACTAACTTGAAAAAATGCTTAGTAACATCATTGCTGGTTCAAATGGTAAGACCATTAAGCTTATTAAGTAGGTACCAAAGTGTCTGCACCATTGTGCATTCTCACAAGCAATAAATGGGAGTTTCTGTTCCTCTGCATCCTTGCCTGCATTTTGTGGTGTTGGTGTGTAGTGGAATCTCATTGTTTTATTTTGCCATTCTCTAATAACGTATGACATTGAGTGTCACTTCATATTCTTTTCATATACATTTTACCATCTGTAGATCTTCTTGTTGAGGTATCTGCTCAGATCTTTTGGCTACTTTTTAATTCAGTTGCTCCTTTTGTTACTATTAAGGTTTACAAGTTACTTGCATGTTTTGGATGCAATCTTTTTATTAGATTAATGTTTTGCAAATAATTTCTCCTACTTTGCTTTTCTTTTCATTGTCTTAAAACAATGCCCTACATAAAAGGCTTTAATTTTAATGAATTCCAATTTATAAAATTTTCCTTTCATGGATTGGGTTTTTTTTCCTGTTGTTTCTAAAAACTCATTGACACTTCCAAGATCGTGACTTTTTCCCTATTTATCTTCCAGATAAATAGTCAGGATACACTGAGGTCTGTAGTCCATTTTGAATTAACTCTATGAACATGTACAGTGCCTGGATCCACTTCCTTTTGAATCCTTAATCCCATTTGTTGAATGGCCTATGCTTTCTCCATGGAATTACAAAGATCTATTGCTTGCATGTGTGTAGATCTCTATCTGGGCTCTATATTTCTGCCCATTGATCTGTTTGTAGATGATGGTGGTGGTGGTGATGGTGATGGTGATGATGATGGTGATGTTGATGCAATGAGGAAAAAACCTAGGGTCTCAATAACTTTTCCCGGCTGACCTCCAACTCATGACCCTCCTGACTCTGCCTCCCCAGTAGCTTAGCTTGTTTGTCTGTTATTTTGAAACACCATGTCTTGAGTATTGTAGCTTTATAGTAGACCTTGAGGTCAAGTACTATCAGTCCTGTGACTTTGTTCTTTTTTGGTAGTGTGTTGGACATTGTGAGTCTGCCTTTTCATATAAAACCTTAGAATATCCACAAAAGGACTTGTTGGGACTTTAGGATTGCAGTCAATCTAAGGTTAAATTTAGGAAGAGCTAATACCCTAGCACTCATTCCTGGGTCTTCGTAGCCATGGATAGGGAATAGCTCTTCATTTATTTAGATATTCTTTGATTTCTTTTTACAAAATTTTATACTAGTCTTCACAAAGATTGGGTACAGATTTGGTTATGTTACATGCCAGTTTGAAGTGTTGCGGCCGGTGCTGAGGGTCCTTGCCTTCACAGGCCAGAGAACTGGCTCATGAGGCAGCTGATTGATATGTGAGCCAAAGCCTGTATATGAAATGCTGCGTAGATCAAAAAAAAGAATTAACCTAGAAGGTAACACATACGCACAGGAAATTAATGCGAGTCAACTCCCTGTATAGCTATCCTTATCCCAACCAGCAAAACCCTTGTTCCTTCCTATTATAGCTTATACTCTCTCTTCAACAAAATTAGAGATAAGGGCAAAATAATTTCTGCTGGGTATTGAGGGGGTTGGG